AAAAAAAAAAAAAAGGAAGTGAATGGCTCCATCTCGTCCAGGTCACAGTCCCTGATGTTTCTGCTGGTAACCTGAGAGTCAGCAGCTTTGAGAAACTGGTTAGATGAGTAGTGAAGGGGTGGGTTTCTTGCCTGGCCAAGTTTCTTTGGCATACTTCTTTTTTCGTGGCTCGTTGTGGGTCTCCGGTAGGTAAGGAGCTGTAACAGGTGTGGGGTTGAGAGTGACAGGTGGCTGTGGAGCCTCAGGGGCCAGGTCTACCTCTGGTGCTGGGTTAGGGAAAGGAAGAGGAAGCCCTCCCTGCATGGCAACACCTCCTGGAGCTCCTATCGGCTGGTTCTCATGACTGGTGGGAGGCAAGTCCCCATAGAGACCACCACCAAAGCCGTAGCCGTGCATGCGTTTTGAAGTCAAGTCATCAAAACCCAAAGTGTTCTGGCCCTCTGATCTCCGTTTCTACAGCAGGGATAGCAGAGCATCAGCTTCACAGTTCATACACCTAATACATGTTTACCTTTCCAAGTCGTACAGCTAGACCACTGCAAATGGTAGTGTTACACTGGGCATACTGGGACCACCCAGTGAGCTACACAGGACAACTTTTTATTTTTGCAAAAAATGCACATTTATCACCTTAAAATTACATTTCTTTAACCATCCTGTCAGCTAAATGTATCTGACATCAAAACTCACCTTTATAGGGATGACAGCAGTCTGCACCATATTTCTGAAGCGCCCAACAGAGGGGTCTATATCCTCTGTAAAGATTTAAAGAACAGTTGGTATACATTAGCGCTGGGGGCATTTCTTCTCATTAGAATTCAAAATCAACATATTTGATCAGTGACATATCAGCCGTAAGCCACCTCACTGCAAACCCACATTAATTAATGTGTTTCTAGCCTAGAATGAAAAGTATCCAAATTTAGTTTATTTGGCTTAATCTTAACTAATCTAATCATCAAAGCTCATTTTCTTCTCATGTACATGCTGTAAATAAAATAACAATCCACTAGTTTTTAGGTAACTAACTTGAGTACCTGGATTTATGATGGAATCTTCTTCACTGAAGGTAACTCTGGAATTTTTTCGTTTCCTCTTGGGCCTCTGAATTTCCAGGTTGCCTTCCTCAATGGTGAGGAGGGAGATGCGCTTGTTGTGAGCTGTGTTGAACTCTGTCAGGTTCTGGCAGGTTAAAAACATTACATATGAGCAAAATAGCTGCATGAATGTCAAAATATCCCAACATAACAACACGGTATACCGGAACAAACTTGATAGAAAAAAAACTGTATTATCTTATAAAGTCAAGGAGAATATTAAACATATGCACAAGCCAATGTCAAACATGTCATATGATGCTGATAAATCAAAAAAACATCTACAAAAAAATAAATAAAATAGATTTAAACGGTGTCAACACAGGGTTTGTGGTAAGGCTGGGAAATGTATATACGAAGCAAATCTCAATAAAGTTTGAAAAAAAAAAAAGAATTCCTGATTATTAAATAAGATCAAACGTGTATTTTAAAGCTAGTCTGAAGCTGGGCATACACTGTGCGATTTTTTCAGTCGCGTTATTCAGCTCCTGCTCAAACTGCACGATTGACTCGCAGGGGTTA